GGGTGGCGGAAAAGGAGCGGTTGGAAAGGTGGGAGGGGAGTCTGGCAGCCGTATTCAGGATCGACTGCAGTGGGGATAGCCAGCGGCGAGGCAGGCCAGTGAGGAGGGAGTTGCAGGAGTCGAGTCGTGATATGATGAGGGAGTGGATGAGCTGTTTAGTGTTTTCTGGGGTTAGAAAACGTGCGGATTTTGGCGATGTTGCAGAGGTGGTGTCTGCATGAGTTAGTTAAAGATTGGACTTGGGGCTGGAAGGATAGGTTGGAGTCCAGAATGACACCAAGTACTCTGGCCTGCAGGGCGGGTTTGATGGTGGCGTTGTTGGATGTGTGATGGAGAAAGTCAGTGGGGGGTGGTGTCCGGGCTGGGGGGAAGACAAGAAACTCGGTTTTGGAGAGGTTCAGTTTAAGGAAGTGGAGCGACATCAGTCTGATATGTCGTCAGTAGGTGTGTGATTCGGGCGGAGACCAAGGGGGTGAGGTGGGGGGTTGAGAGATAGATTTGTGTGTCGTCGCCATAGAGGTGGTAGTTGAAAGCCGTGTGAGAGTCTATGAGTTGGCCAAGGGAGGAGGTGTAGATGGAGAAGAGAAGGGGCTCGAGGACAGAGCCTTGAGGGACCCCAACAGAGAGGGGGAATGAGGGGGAGTGAGGGGGAGGTGGTAGCATTATTAGGTAACGCTGAAGGAGCGTTTGTGACAGGTAGGATGAGAGCCAGGAGAGAGCAGAATCTCTGAGGTTGAGGGAGTGTAGTTTTTTGAGGAGGAGGGGGTGGTCGACTGTGTCGAAGGCCACAGAGAGGTCAAGGAGTAGGAGCACTGAATAGTGGCCATTAGCTTTGGCGGTTAGCAGGTCGTTGGAGAGTTTGAGTAAGGAGGTTTCGGTGGAGTGTAGGGGACGGAAGCCGGACTGTAGGGGATCAAGGAGGTTGTTGTTGTTGAGGTGAGAGCATAGGCGGGTGTAGACGAGGCGCTCGCTCGAGGAGTTTAGATGTAAATGGCAGCAGGGAGATGGGTCTGAGGTTGTTCGGGTCATTGGGGTCCAGGGAGGGCTTTTTAAGTATGGGGGTGATGTGTGCATGTTTCAGAGGGGAGGGGAAAATGCCTGAGAAGAGGGAGAGGTTGAAGATGTGGGTGAGGGAGCGTAGGATGGAGACAAGATCAAGGATATTACCTTTTTTGTTGGAGTGGGTGGTGGATTGTATGCACTGTGCAAGTGCAAAGGAGGAGGTTAAGTGGAGGAGATGGGATGTGTCCGGGTTGTCGAGGTTGACAGGGATGTTGAAATCCCCAAGGATGACGGTGGGTAGCTCAGAGGAGAGGAAGAAGGGTAGCCAGGAGGAAAAGTCATCCAGGAAGCGGAGATATGGATCCGGGAGGCCGGTATATCACAGCAATCTTCATGGGGGTTGGGGAGAATAGTCTGATGCAGTGGGCCTCGAAGGAGGAGAAGGATAGGGAGGGGGGGTTTGGGAGGACTTGGAAGGTGCTCTGCGGTGACAGGAGCAGACCAACCCCACCACCTTTACGACATTAGGCCTGGGTGAATGGGTCCAGGTGAGACCTCCGTAGGAGAGTGCAGCAGGGGAGGTAGAGTCAGTGGGCTGGATCCAGGTTTCCGTGATCGCTAGCAGGTTGAGGGAGCGGGAAACAAAGAGGTCGTGGATGGCGGTAAAGCTTGTTGCACACCGATCGGGCGTTCAGGAGTGCACATGACAACGGGGGGGGAGGGGAGATTTTAGGGAGCAGGGGGACAGATATTAGGTTGCGGGGTGTTGCGTTGATATATATAATATATTTTATAATATTATACATTATAAACTAGTTAAGGATATTTTTTACTATTTTTTTTTTCACTTTGGGCCCACACCAATGTATTTATTTTCTTTTTTATAAGGAAACTCTGTGGCAACAACAACAAATGTTTGCAATAACTATTTGGAAACAACTACTAGGCAGACTATATAGAGTGTAATGCATACATAAAAATATATCTGAATATTTCCAGCAAACAGCTGAAGTATCCCTCTGAATCCTTTGAGAAGGTTAAGCAGATGCTTGTGAAGAAGTAACGTTACACAATATATAATAACTTTGGCTTTGAAGAACATTCACACACTTTGTAGAAGAGCCTCCTCCGTGTGTTCCATCGTAAATGAACGTCGCTTTTAAAAAGGAATATTTACAAATTTAGCCTTTTTAGAGATATAGTCAACATATCAGAGATATTACATTGAGATCCATCATTAACTTGGGTGATGTTTGAAGTGCTAGAGGGAGGAAAGATGGGATCTGAGGTTTGAAAGGACAAGGTAATAATATGTATGATATACCCATAAATCTCAGAGGGAGATAGCACAGGAGGGGTAAGGATGACATATAAACTACATATATGCAAAAAAAAAAACAAAACATATTTTAATAAAAAAAAAATAAATAAATAAAAAGTACAGTGTAAACACGTGCACATGCATCATTTTTCAATATAAATAATTTTACAAAGTCCCAACCCTTTTTTATGTGGATTTTCCTAATCTAGAAAAAGAGATTTCCTTATCCCCCTACTCTCCTGTAAATGTCTGCAGAAAACTAGATACATTTCATGGACATACTGCGCTCTGATGTTGGCGGTACATTATTTCTTCATACTACACTGAGGGTGATCATGGGCTTACAGTGGATCCTGCCACATAAGGATATGTGGTTAAAGTCGGGTAAAATTTTTTTTTTGAAATGTATCTCTTTGAACTGCATGGAGACTTCGGTTTTAAAACTGATCAGAAAATTAGAAAAGTGGATCAACCGATAGACAGATAGATGGTTATTATAGATATAGACTGTAGATAGATTAGATTAAATAGCTATACATTATATACAGACAGATAGATAATTAGATCAATAGATCAATAAAAGATAGATAGATAGTAGATAGATAGATAGATAGATAGATAGATAGATAGATAGATAGATAGATAGTAGATAGATAGATAGATAGTAGATAGATAGATAGATAGATACACCTATTAGGGGTAGACCTACTGTATAGACAGAAAGATAGACAGATAGACAGATAGATA